ATCAAATTGGAAAAAAACACACAAGGATTTAGGTAGTAAAATTTTTAAAAAGAAAAAGAAAAGCTACAATCTATGCCTACAAAAAGTTAATTCAGTAAAATTATAAGATGGAATCTGACATTTGTATAAAGTGATTTTCAATGTCTAAAATGAAAATTATTTATCATCCCTTTTTGCCATTGCTCTAAACTTATTCTTTTTCCTAAAATTTTGAGAGGATATAAAACTTTTCTTGTTTGATTCAGACCATAGGGCTATACTGAGTTCTTCAATGTCCTTTTCATTTTTATTCTTTTCTTAATGTCATCTAACCTTTTATTTTATTGTTCTCTTGGGATGTTATAACTTTTTTTTTTTATTTTTCACTTACAGTTGGCATACAATATCATATTAATTTCAGGTGTACAACATAATGATTACATATTTGTATAACTTACAAAGTGATCACCCCAATATGTCTAGTACTCATCTGATACCATGAATAGTTATTGCAACATTATTGATCATATTCCTGATGCTGTACTTTACACCTCCATGAATATTTTTATAACTGCCAATTTGTACTTCTTAATCCCTTCTATCAAAGCAGCATGGTACTGGAATAAAAACAGACAAATAGATCAATGGAACAGAATAGAGACATCAATCCATGCTACATGGTGAATTAAACTATGACAAAGAAGGCAAGAATATACAGTAAAGAGTCTCTTCAATAAATGGTATTGGTAAAACTGCATAAATAAGAGCAAAAAAAATTGAAACTAGGCCACTTTCTTATACCTTACATAAGAATAAATGCAAAATGGGTTAAAGATTTAAATGTAAGACCTAAAACCATAGAACTACTTACTATAAGTTAACATGGGCAGTAAACTCTGTGAAAAATTTTTGGATGTCTCCTTGGGCAAACGAAACCCAACAAAAATAAAAAAGACTACATTAAATTAAAAAGTTTCTACACAGCAAGGGAAGTCACTGACAAAACAAAAAGACAACCTACTGAATGGAAGAAGATATTCACCAATGATACATCCAATAATATATAAGGAACTCATACAACTTAATATCAAAAAATAAAAAAGCTTATTTTAAAATGGGCAGAGGATGGAAATAGGACACTTCTCCAAAGAGGACATACAGGTAGCCAACAGGCATATGAAAACATCTCAATATCAGTAATCATCAGGAAAATGCAAATTAAAACCTCAAGATATCACCTCACACCTGTCAGAATGGCTATCTTCAATGGCCATTTTAGTGGTGACTTTCTCATGCTCACCCCTGCTCCTCAGTATATAGTACCAGAGAAAGCAATTAATTTTCAGAATTTTCCCAGAGTAGAAGAGGACTATGAAAGTAAGATAATACTGGAGTAAAAAAGTGACAGGCAAAAAGTTTTCTATCTCTATTGCTCTTGCTTCCTTTCCTCTTGATCTCCCATATAGGAAACAAAAATAGGTGTAGGTAATACAAATTGAATTTCACTATTTTTTTTCGTCCTCATTTTGGCCTTTTATTTTTAGGTTAACACTGTCATAACAATGAAGGTGCAAATATTTCCATCACAGCAGAAGTTCAATCTCCCACGTCTTCTGCCAGAATCAGCCGCAGATCTGTTCTCTGTCATTGCGGAATAACTTGATTATTCTAAAATGTCATATTGTTACCGGGAAGGGACCATGCTGGTGTGGGTCTGCCTCAGGCAGGACTGTGGTATGTGAGTTCTTGACATCATGTCGGAAAGCTTTCATAACACAAGTTCAGGTGATTTTAAGGGTGCATTTAGCAGAGTTGGGGACAGTGAAACAAGAAGGGCCTAGTGTAGCAGAAGAAATGGAAGTTTGACAAGGTGGGGCTGCTGTCAGTTCCCTGGAAAGTCAGAGGAAAGGGGGCCTTGGAGATAGATGAGCTGCCACTGACCATTGTTTTCCTGGTTGCAAGTCTTGTGGGTGGATTTCACTTTGGATCTGCTTTAAGGAAAGGGTTATAGAATCTTGACTGGGATCAGAATTATAAGGAAATTATTAGGAATTTTATAAGGCACTGACTCACCAGGAATTTGTTCCAATATTCCACAGCCAATATAATTTAGACCAGTGGTTCTCAACCTTCTGGCCCTTTAAATACAGTTCCTCATGTTGTGACCCAACCATAAAATTATTTATGTTGCTACTTCATAACTGTAATGTTGCTACTATAATGAATCGTAATGTAAATATCTGATATGCAGGATGGTCTTAGGCGACCCCTGTGAAAGGGTCGTTCCACCACCAAAGGGGTAGCGACCCACAGGTTGAGAACCGCTGATTTAGACCAACATGTGATTTTATAAGTATTGATTAAGTTTTCTTTGATTAAAAGAAAAGGCAGGAATGGGCTTAGTGACACTTTGCTTTGAATATTTCAAACTAGAAAATGAGAAATAACCCATTTCAAAAACATTATCTGAAAACAAAAATTATATATCAACAACCAAATTAACCAAATATCCAACTAAGTCTCTTATGTGAATTTTTGCAAATAAATGCACATACACACAAAACAACAGTCCCCAGGTTCTTAAAACTTCATTTGTTTTTGAATCTTTGAAAGTGATAATGACATAAGGTGAATAACCAAATATCTTGCAGTTTGCTCTTTCAGTCAGATCTATTCCAACTCATCTAAAAAGACATGTAATGAAAATGACACCTGACTTCCAATTGTCTAGTACAAAAATTTTTACATATTGTCTTATTCTGGGTTCAAAAAATTCAAGTGAGCTAGAGCAGTATATTATAATGCCACTCGGGGCATGTAGTAAGTGAAGATAAGAAAGTAACAGTTTGTTAAAAAGCAAGGCTCAGATTACTATCTTTAATCTTTAAAAGAAAAGTATTAGCAACTTGCTATATTCACAACATTGGGTTAGTTCCTCTGTAAGAATCAAAGAAATAAGTAATCTAGATCTTCATTTACTAGTAACCCTCAGTAATTTCCAGTTCACCTTATTCATTCCTCTGATCCATGTCTCCCACCCCCCAGAAGTGAAGTATCAATAGCTATAAGTGTGAAGGGCCCAAGTAACTTCATCAGAACTTTTTTTTAAGTTATTCAATTTTTAATAAAGTAGTAATACTTCAAATTTCATTTGGATATAACTATTTCTTAGGTCAAAAGAATCTGACCTATAAAAAATAATAATTGAGTTATTGCACACCTTTTACATGCAAAACAGTGTAGAAAATATTCATTGAGATGATTATGGCCCTTAACAGATGTGAACCATGTAATTAAGTGTTCTATCAAAAAGACTCCAGCAATTTGCCACAGGACTTTTATATTTGTTTTGGTTTTGGGTTTTGTTTGAGGTGATTTTTTTCATTTTATTAAAATTATTTGTTACCCTTTTTCTTTTAGTAATAGATCAATACAAGTTGTAGGATAAACAAACTATCAGGTAAAAATTTGGTCAATTTTCCAGAGGTTGAAATTGCTAAGAACATGATTATCTCCCTCTTTATTGCTGGGTGAAAAATACATTATGGAAATAGATGTCAGGGAGATTAATAGATTATTTTCACACTTATTCTACTTATTAGAAAGAATCTAAAATAAAAATCTAGCAGAAAAATCAGTTTTGGTAGATTAGTCTTTTCTCATTGAATTTACTGTGGTGACATTGGTTAAAACCACACAGGTTTCAAGGGTACAACTCTACAGCACATCCTCTGCATACTGCACTGTGTGCTCACCACCCAAAGTCAGGTCTTTTTCTGCCGCCATTTATCTTCCTTTGTCTTCTTCCACCTCCCCCTACTTTGCTTTCCCTCTGGCAATCACCATAATGTTATTTGTTTGTTTGTTTGTTTGTTTGTTTGTTTAACCCTTTCATCTTTTGCACCCAATCTCCCAGGCCCCCTCCCTTCTGACAGCTATTCTCTCTATCCATGAGCTTGTTTCTATTTTGTTTATTTTTTTCATTACATTCCACATATGATTTAAATCATATGGTATTTGTCTTTCTCTGACTGGATTATTTCACTTAGCATAATGCTCTCCAGTTCCATCCATGCTGTTGCAAAAGGTAAGATTTCCTTCTTCCTTACGGCTGAGTAGTAGTCCATTGTGTAAATGTACCACAGTTTTTTTGTTTGTTTGTTTGGTTTTTTTTGTTGTTTTTTTTTTAAATATTTTTTATTGATTTTTTACAGAGAGGAAAGGAGAGAGATAGAGAGTCAGAAACATCGATGAAAGAGAACCATCGATCAGTCGCCGCAACCCAGGTACATGCCCTTGACCGGAATCGAACCTGGGACCCTTCAGTCCGCAGGCTGACGCTCTATCCACTGAGCCAAACCGGTTTCGGCTACCACAGTTTTTTTATCCACTCACTCATCTACTGATGGGCACTTGGACCGCTTCAAAATATTGGCTATTGTAAATAATGCTGCAATGATCACAGGGATGCATATATTCTTTCAAATAAATGGTGTCGTGAAAATTGAACAGATACATGCAAAAAAATGAAACTAGACCACATCCTTACATCATACACAAGAATAAACTCAAAATGGCTAGAAGACTTAAATGTTAGGTATAAAACCATAAAATTCTAGAAGAAAATATAGGCAGTAAAATCTCGGACATTTCTTGTAGTAATATTTTTAGCGATATATCTCCTTGGGCAAAGGAAACAAAAGAAAAAATAAACAAATAGGGCTACATCAAACTAAAAGGCTTTTGCACAGCAATGGAAACCATCAACAAAATGAAAAGACAACCCACTGAATGGTAGAATATATCTGGCAATGCTATAGTATATCTGATAAAAGGTTAACATCAAAAAATTATAAAGAAGAGGGGAAAAAAATTATAAAGAACATATACAACTCAACACACACACACACAAAAAAAAAACAGTCCAATTAAAAAATGGGCAAAGGATCTTCAAAGACACTCTCCAAAGATGGCCAATAAAAATAGGAAAAGTGCTCAACATCACTTACCAACGGAGAAATGCAAATTAAAACCACAATGAGGTATCACCTATCACCTGTTAGAATGGCTATCATCAAAAAAGAAATAAATAAGTGTTGGTGAGGATGTGGAGAAAAGGGAACCCTAGTACAATGCTGGTGGGAATGCAGACTGGTACTGTCACTGTGGAAAACAGTATACAGTTTCCTCAAAATAATTAAAAATGGAATTGCTGTTTGAGCCAGGGATTCTATTTCCAGGAACATATCTGAAGAAGCCTGAAACACTGATTCAAAAGGACATTTACATTTGATTCAAAGACTAGCATAAGAAAATCACTAAGTAGTATCACTTAGAAAATTAAAATTGTCATTTTGTCCAACTTAATATGCTAGGAAATGGCCCTCCATGGCATTTCATTCCTATAAACAATACCATTTAGAAATCCTTGTCATTTCCTTCCCAAATTGTACAAAGCAAACTATTTTTAAAAGTCCTCTGAGTAAACATGTAAAATTCAAGCTTTTAACAAATTACAGCATGATTCTTCCTTAGAGATCTATTTTGGGTTCCCTAATTTAATCACGATCAGATGATATCCAGTGGGTAAGCTTATTTTTATAATACTGAAAGTAAATTAACTATTTTCACTGCAATGTTCATTAAGTAAATCGTATCTCAGTGTCAATCCCCATGTTCTTCAAGCAGGGGAAGCAAGCTCATCTCCATTTACAGACAGCACATGCTTCTTTTTGTGCCTTCCAAGAGATTTAAGAATACACTGGAATGGAAACTAAAATACCATAGCAAAGGAGAAGAAGAGAAGCTAAGCTGTTTCCAAAAAACAAAAAACAAAAAACAATCCACAGATTTGAAGAAACACAACTTCTGCAAGTTGTTAACAATCAACATGACACCCAATGGGGCAGGGGGAACATAGTTGTGAACTCTCATTTATGTATTATCACAAAATCACCCAGGAAAGTGAAGCAATATTCTTGCTATTAAGAAAGCCTAAAGAGAAAATGCATATCCATTTGTCTGGTTGGCTACTATGCTCCAAAGAACAGAGACTTCACTTCATTGATTATGTTCTTTTGTTTATAGTAAATGGTCTGATAATTAGGTCCTGGAAAGGAGCTCTAAGTTTCAGGGGAGTCATGACTTACTCTTCTTCACTGGAAACTTCTAGTCCAAATATATGTAGTGAAAAATTGCTTCCCCCTTGATAATTAGTACAGTAATGCACCTTTCACAAATTTCTGGAGGTCACTAACATGAACATGTGGATTCTTCGATTCCATTAAAGAGAAAATAAAGCAGTTATCAAGGTCCTGTGGCCATGTAGATAATTCATCACTTTCATTGAAATTGGAAGAGAAAAGGAAATTATAATTCCAAGACTTATTCTCATGTGATGTCCAGGATGGAAGATGGGCTTCCCCTAACTTGCCTACTTTATCTGAGGTAGTGGTTGCCCAGAAAGCCATATTTGAGAAAAATTTGGAGCTGTATCCAGAATCAGCCACAGTGAGTACTTGGTTATTTCGCAATTTTGTCTATCAAGGTGAGAAGCGGCGGGTATTCTGTCAGGTACATGAAGAACCTCTCTTAAAAGATGTAGATTTATCACATGCATGGATCAAACTCACTGAAAAATACAAAATCATTATTTTCATATTTTGTTGTGTATTTGGAAGTTAGTACCACTAAAATAAATACTTTACCATGTTTTCAACCTGCTATTGGAATAAAATATAGAATGATAAATATGCTACAGTTGATAAAAAGAATATTATAAACATAATTAGAAATAAACCAAATATTTAACTTTTAAGCATGCAAAAAATACATTCCAGAATAGGAACTATAGGAAGATCACTTTTTACCCCAAATAGTTAATAAGATTTTACTGCCAACAAAAAAATGAAATATCCACCCTGGAATTCACTTTTACTAACTAGCAGTTATTAAACATGATTTATTAAAATGTAATTTTTTAAAAGCTTCATATATGTGAAATGATGTAATTCCCTACATTTTAATTTATATAAAAAGTAATTATGACATATACAAATGTGACCAAGTTTATTATCAATTTTATTTGCCTTCAAATTCTTCCAGTTAAAATATGTCATGACATTATAATTACAATATAAATAGCCTATATTATCAAAATTAACAATATAAGCACCATTTAAGGAAATAATGGAACAATAAGAAATCTGCACTTTTGATTTGGGTGTATTTTTCTAGTAAACGCTACATTGAAAATTTGAAATATATCTGAATGAAATATAAACCCAGGAAAGTTGTCTTTATCTCATTTAAAAGCAAAGACATAATAGAAAAATTATCCTTGTTTAATCAATAGAAACTATATCTGGCTAATTACTAGCCTCAATTTAAACAAATATATGTTATGGCCAGGTTAAAGGGTCATGAGCATTCATTTATTTTCTTGACAAGTTCCAGGAGAGGCAAATCATGGCTTTAAGCGTCACTAGATAAGACAGAGTGGAGAAAGATATGGGAATGGAGGAGATAAAAGAAAGAACCCAGGAATCGAATAAAATAAAGGCTTTGAAATTCCTGGATTAAAGACTTAAACATGAGACATGATATCATAAACTCCTAGAAAAAAAATAGAGTTGAAACTCCTTGACATTGGATTGGGCAATGATTTTTTTTTTTCTTTTTGGCTCAAGTAATAGAAGCAAAAATCAACAACTGGGATGACATCAAACTAAAAGGTTGAACAGAAAAGGAATCCATCAACAAAATGAAAGGTAATCTACTAAAAGGAAGAAAATATTTGCAAAATATGTCTAATGAGGGGTTAATATCCAAAATATATAAAGAAATCATACAACTCAATAACAAGAGTATCTGATAAAAAATGGGTAGATGACCTAAACAGTTTTTTAAAAAAGCTATCTAATGGCCAACAGATAGTGTATTGAAAATATGCTCAATACACTAATAATCAGGGAAATGAAAATCAAAACCACAATGAGATATCATCACACACCTGTTAGAATGACTAGCATCAAGAAGACAAGAAATAACATGTGTTGGCAAGGATGAGGAGATAAGAGAACACTCGTGCACTATTCGTGGGAATGTAATTGGTTCAGCCACTGTGGAAAACAGTATGGAGGTTCATCAAAATTAAAAATAGATCTACCATATGATCTAGCTATCCCATTCTTGGTATGGATCGAAATAAAATGAAAACATTATCTCAAAGAGATATATAGCACTCCCATGTTTATTGCAGCATTACTTATGGATAACCAAGACATGGAAACAAGCTAAGTGTCCACTGAGTGATGAGTGGATAAAGTTGCAATTATGGACAAAGATATTATTGTATATAGATAGAATGAAATATTATTCAGCCATGAGGAAGAGGGAAATCCTGTCATTTGAGACAACATGGATGGGCCTTGATGGCATTGTGCTAAGTGAGACAAATATTGTATGACATCCCTTATATGTGGAATATAAAAAAATTAACTTTGTAAAAATAGAAGAATGGTGATTACCAGGGTTTGGAGGTTGAAGAAATTGGGGAGATGTTGTTTAAGAGTATAAACTTACAACCAGTACACAAAAACATCCTGAAGATCTTAGTGAGAATAGATAACAATGATATGTATTATAAACTTCAGAGTTGCAAGAAGACTAGATCTTAATTCTCCCCAAGACTAGAAATAATAATATGATGTGTTAGAGGTGTTAGCTGATGCTATGGTGGCAATCATATTGCAATATATAAATATCTCAAATCAACATGCTGTACAACATAAACTTACACAATATCATTATATTTCAATGAAAGATAAAGAAAATTATGAATTGATATTAATTACCTACATTACCATAAACATCAGACATGAATAGAAAGAAATGAAGTAACACATGAATTATTAGCACTGCTGGTGGGAATGCAGACTGGTGCAGCCACTGTGGAGAACAGTATGGAGTTTCCACAAAAAATTAAAAATGGAACTCCCATTTGACCCAGTGATCCCACTTCTAGGAATATATCCAAAGAAACTAGAAACACCAATCAGAAATGATATATGCACCCCTATGTTCATAGCAGCACAATTCACCATAGCTAAGATTTGGAAATAGCCTAAGTGCCCATCAGCAGATGAGTGGATTAGAAAATGGTGGTACATCTACACAATGGAATACTATGCTGCTGTAAAAAAGAAGGAATTCTTACCATTTGCAACAGCATGGATGGAACTAGAGAGATTATGCTAAGCGAAATAAGCCAGAGAAAGATAAATATCACATGATCTCACTCAATTATGGAATACAATGAACATAAACTGATGAACAAAAACAGATCCAGAGACAGAGAAGCATTGATCAGACCTTCAAACCTCACAGGGAAGGTAGGGGAGGGTGGGGATAAGGGGGAGAGATCAACCAAAGGACTTGTATGCATGCATATAAGCCTAACCAATGGACACAGACAACAGGAGGGGGAGGGCATGAGTTGGGGGGGTGGGGGGCAATGGGGCAATAAGGACACATATGGAATACCTTAGCCCACATTTTTTACTTTGCTTTAAAACTTAACTTGAGTTCAGCACACATTTCAGCAAGATCTAAGATCCTAGCCCACTCATATATATTAATAACCACTCTATGTCCCTGTCTTGGATTCCATATTTATGATGCAAAATGCCATACAGTCACTAAATATGGGTAAACAGCGAATGCCAAAGCAGCACCTCTTGTACTAAAGGACATCTTATATTTCCTAACATTTGTCTCACGCATACTAACCTAGATTCTAGAAATAATAAAGTCTATTTTTTCTAATGATTTTTCTTCATGCTATGTCTTTCTTGGTAGATTCATCATCTGAATGAAGGGCTCCTAAAATTAAGGTCAGGACTAATTTTCTTTTCAAAGGCTGCAGATGCTGTACTCTATTTAACTCTAAAAGAACTACTTAATGTCAATATTGTTAATACCTCATCACCCTTTAAGGAATGTCAGAGTGAGGCTGTGGGGAGGGGGGATCACAAACCAGGGACACTGGCACAATTTTACGAAGAGGAGGAAACAAGAAGTGGCCTTTGCTTGACAGTACCTGTCACACGGAATGTCCTCCAGGTTCCTCTTTCTTTTTCCCTTTATCTACCTATTTTTTAATCCATAACTTTATTTTGCTTGAGCTTTCTACAGGTTCCCCTGAATACAAACACTTTAAAAAGCAGAACGGGCTGTTTTGTAACAACTTTCCAATAAATTGAGTTATGATCTTTAAAATTTCTAGCTTGATTCCTCATTCATCACTTCTGTATATTAATTGTGAGCTAATGATATAATTGCTTTTGTGTTGCTTTTGCAGATATTGTTATTTTAGGGTCCTAAAAATATTTCAGGCTTCCAAAGAATCTAAAATTGCCCCTCCTGACCTAGCAACCAGTCATAATATCCTTTGGGGTGTAGAGGTTTAGTATAGTCCGCATTTTACATCCTTGTGTTAAAGAGTAAGGAGAGTTATTGGATGCAAGACAGAAAAGGAAGCATGGTACCCTAAGCATTGACAGAAAGCAGTTGGTGAGTTCTACATAGTTTGCCATTATGGGAGTTGACAGGAAACAGTCCTTAGCGCTCCAAACGTCAGCAATCATGTCATGAAAAAGCGGAAGCATGTGTCCTACATTCCAGGTGGTGGTGGGGAGTGAAGGCTGCAGGTGGGGGTGGAGCAGCAGGTAGCAGCCAAGAGATAAGCTGCACACAGGCTGCTCTGGAGAGGATGCTAAAAGGAAAAACAAAGCAAAACAAATAAAGAGCACTCCCAATCAAGGGGCTCTGCAAGAGATGACACACACTTCCTGTTTAAAGAATTACATTGAAGAAATTTTCAGACACAAATTTATAATATCCTCTCCAGAGTTCTTCCCTATTAGTAAAACACATTTAATTAAGAACTCCTTACTTTTTGGAATCTTCCATTACATATGGGAAATTTAGCTACCGACATTTCAAAGGATCATGAGTCACCCACAAATATATTTTCCCTAGAACCTGATTTCAAGTACCAGCAACCATCTATTTGCATGTCTCAAAGATTATGAAACAATTGCAATAACTAAATTTGACTGCAGTATGGGTATTTTCTTAGGAGATAGTGGCTTTAGAATGACTTTTTTAAAAAAAATTAAAGTTTGGTTTTTGTTTTCTCCTTTACAAAAGCCTTGTTTTCTTGGCATACAGATAGAAAAAATGATATTTGCCCTCAAAATAGGGCAGTTGAAGGCATCAGATTTGGGTTCCAATTCACATAAGTTGCCATATTCACAGGTATCATAACAGGTCTCAGGTTCCCGCATCTTTGGAGCTTACTGAATTATCACAGAAAAAGCTCAACTGTTAATAGCTCAATGAGAAAGACCTACATCAAATATCCTATTCTTGGGAAAAATGATTTCTAAATTACTTGATACAGAATATTATTAGGAAATACCATTCCATTATTTTCCATGTTTGCTTTTATATCTTAAGGGGAAAAATACCTAGAATTTTAGAGAAAGCATCTCCCTTTCATCACTCCCAACAAAACTGTGGAGTAGGCATTTGAAAAGTCTTTCTATTTCTATAGACTTAAAACTGTTCTCCAAATTCCAAGGATTCCACAGGGGTGCTGCTGAACGTCTACTAATATTTGATTGTAAATTTTTAAACCTGCATATGTTTATATTTAAACTGTAATTAAAAGCCACTCATAGCTGATACATTCTAGAAAACAGTAACACAGCAGGGTCCCCTATTCACTAACTTGCAGAGGTGTCCATCTGCAGCAGCACTTTCTTTTTAATGCAAGAATCTGTACAGTGTCTAGTGTCATGCCAAGCATGGCTCAGGTAGAACTGTTGTCCATATGTTGAACTCATGGAGCAATAACATAAAACATAAGTATGTGTGCCACTAGGCCAGCATGGGTCAGTGGGTTGAGAACTGACCTAGGAACCAGGAGGTTGCGGTTTGATTCCCCAACAGGACACATGCCCGGGTTGTGGGTTTGATCCCCTGTGTGGGGTGTGCAGGAGGCAGCTGGTCAATGATTCTCTCCCATCACTGATGTTTCTATCTCTCCCTCTCCCTTCCTCTCTGAAATCAATCAATCAATAAATATATTTTTTCAATTAAGTGTGTCTTACTCTTCTGAGATATTATATTATGAATAGTTTTAGTACCTGCTAAGTTATTTTCCTGAATGACTTTTTATTTTATTTATAACTTTTTAATATTTTCCTCTATGATATAAAAGAATATTTCATGAAAGTAATTACTGTTTTATTTATTACTGTGGTCTAATAATTGTTAAACAGAAAAACACTAATTCTAAAGAAGATAACTTTCAAAAATGTTAGTAATAATACGTAATTTATCTACTTTATTAAGTCTCAGTCTTTAAAATGTGGACTTTTCTGAGATATTCATGAATAATGGGTTCCAGAATTTACTTTACCAAGCTAAAATTATTGGTTTCCTGAGGGTAAGATTTCAGTTCAAGTATATCAAATAAAATAAAATAACTTCTTCTGATAGAGAAGTAGCCACAGCTTGGCTAAATATCTCCCATTATAACACAGCTTTATTAACTTGCTAAAAGAATTTATTAACATGCATATGACTTTGCCTTTATTTATTTACTTATTTATTTATTTATTTATTTATTTATTTTAATTTAGACTTTGCCTTAAAAAAAACTCTCACCCAGGTGGCATGGCTCAGTGGTTGAGCATCCATCTGTAAACCAGGAGGTCACTTTGGTTCCTGGTCAGGGCACATGCCAGGCTTGCAGGCTCAATCCCCATTGTGGGGCGTGCAGGAGGTAGTCGATCAATGATTCTCTCTCATCATTGATGTTTCTATCTCTCCTTCTCCCTCTCCTTTCCTCTCTGAAATAAAAATATATTTTTATATTTTTTATAAATAAAATATATTTATAAAAATATATTTTATAAAAATATATTTTTTATAAAAACCTCAACCATACAATGACTTTGGCTTTAAAAAAAATCAAAATTAAAAAATTCAGAGTTCAATATGCTAAACAAATTTTTCATTGAAACTTTTTGAACCTCT